TATTGCAGAATTTTATTAAAATATACAAAAATAACATAATTTTAATTCATATTTTAAAAACAATATATAATATATTTAAATGTCTAATATTATGAATGATGTCACGGATGATTTTAATTAAAAAAAAAAGCGTGATGAAATCTCTGATAATTATATATACGTATGCATAAGATTTACACATATTTTCCATTTATAATATTTACTTTGGCTTTATATTTTTCAGTAATTTGAATGTGCGTGAAACATTGATTTTGGCTTTTAAATGTAATTAAATTCAGCTCTGTTTCAAATAACTACACTAAATATTCTATACAGCACACCTATTTTCAATTTCTTGTACAAGGTACTGTGTAAAATAAAATCGCTTTGTTGTTCAATTAAATTAATAATGACGGATTAATAAATGCTGAACGTATAATTCTATTGGTCATTGTGTAGTGCCGTATTAAAATTATAAATGAATTCTGTTTTGCACCAACAGCGCACAATAAATTTTCGTAAATGATTTTACGCCAACGAAAATTGAAAATTTTCGTAATAATTGCAGTGTATTATTATTTCTCAATCAACAAAATCCTCAAAACAGCTCTGTATCTTATTCTATATGTATAAACTAAATATTTTTAATCAGAGCTTACATTTTATTCCTTTTCATTATTAATGTATAAAACGAAAAAATAGATAAACAAATATCATAAACAAATATCACCAATTAGATATTATATCACAACGAATAATTATTCTTCTTAACTTAAAGTTAAAAACAAAAATCGTAAAACTTATAACTTATTTAAATATTAATTAAAATTAAGATTCTTAATAATTCTTAACATTTATAATTAACCTATTTTTTAATTTTTTAAATTAACATGTTTAAATAAAATTATTCATAATTCGAATCGAAAAGTAAAATTCGAATAATAAAATTATTCACAAAATAACGAGAACTAAAAATAATAATTTCTATTGAATTCTTTAACAATCACGATAGAATACTTTTGATTACGTCATCTTCACATTACTTGTTTCCTGATAAAACAGTGATGTGCGGAAAGTCAGTTACATTTAGGTGAACATAACACCAAAAGTTTAACCGATTTCTCATGGCGGATTACACGTTAACGAGACACCATCGAGAAGACACCATCTTATGCGGGGTTGTATCTCACAATGAGATATTCGCTATTACAACGACGTCCGGGTGGTTGGAATAGACTCGACATCGTCTTTTGGGATTTCGTAGTGACGGCGATGGGCGGGGAGGAACACGACGTTTACGATTTATCACTACTGACTGCGTATATTTCGCAAGAAATAGGCCGAAACGAAAAATGCAAACGAAGCATGAACTTTATAAGTTGACTTCCACGAGCATCAGGCGAAAATATCAGAGCGGTTTAAATTTAAACACTTTTTTTTTAATGGACCGTAGCGTTTAACGCGCTCAGAGTTACTAATTAATTCAATAACTATAAGCGATTTTGAAATTCGCTAAAAAATTTTTTTGCCACTCTTAATGTGATTGATTTACATCAAATATATTAAAGTTTCAGTCAAACATGGTATACGCAACATTTCATTGTAAAAATTCACGTATTAAATTATTAATTTATGAAAATTAATTAAACTAAACATTTATTTATTTGTTAAATTAAACTACTGATTTTAATATTTAACTTTAATTGAATATTTAATTTAATATATACTTTTTAACGATATTTTTCTAACATCACAGATAACAAGATAACACTAATTTACAAAAAAATGTTTTTTTTATTACTTTAAATTAAATATTGCGTTTTTTATAGGTTTTTAAGTGCTGAAAACGATGTCCCAAGTTGAATTTCATTAGCACATTAAGTGTTTAAAATGATTGAGGTATAATATGCAAAAAATGGTTTTTCTGTGTTATTTGATAAAAAGAGTTCTGTGTTTTTTTCATAA